GCAGCAAAATATACTTCCATTTTCTACCAGATACTTGCACCACCTCTAACGGTATCAAGTCTCTTCTCAGTCCCTTCCCTCCTTTCTCCCTCCCCTCCTCCCCCCTCCTTTCTCCCTCCCCTCCTCCCCTCGCTGCTCTCACCACTGAAGCCAAATTCTAGGGACATGGGCAAGATGGCCACAGACATGGCGACTCGATCCAAAGAACAGATGATCATGCACAGGAAGGAAAGCGCCAAGAGCCTCCACGCATCGGGGGGAACGGGCTCCTCCTCCTCGTCCGTCTTGGGGGAAGGCAAAGACGAGGCGTACAGCCGGGAGGATGGCACGATGGAGAAAGACGCCGGAGAAAGTGAAAGGAGGGGCTTGCAGATAGCGTCATGGCAAGAGAAAGAGCTGGCAAAGGTCGGTGATGGGCATCGAGGTGCTCTGTTCCGCAAAGGGATTCCGGCAGCGCCCCCAGACCGACTGGAACATGTCAGGCCCGTGCTGCCACGGGTCCGCAAGCTACATTCGGGAAATTCTCGACTTTGACAAGAGGGTAGATTTTTACCAACACATGTCCTGCCCATTGCGGTCCAGTCGGGGCTGCTGCCTCTTACAGGAACATGCTGGGTTACATGAAGCCGCTGGGGTTGATATACAAAAGCCCGTGTTGTCGCGATAAGGAATGCAGCTGCTGTTGCTCCTGCTGCTGCAGGACAGATAGTTGATATTCTTCTCCTTTTACACCGCATCGTAGCCATCCTTTCTATTTTGTAAGTGCTCTATCCCTCTGTGAAAAGGTGGCAAGAGGTTGTTGAACAGGAACTAGGTCAGAATGCTTCAGGGCTAAAAATTGAGTTCTAAGTTGACGTACAATCTATCCGGGACCATGCCGGGTAGATCGAGCATGCTTATGTCCCTATTTCGACTGCCTTTTCACTAAGAGAGGTCGTGCGAAACGTAAAACCCACAGATTCCTCAAGCACACGCCAGGTCCGTGGCCCGATATAGAGATCGAGCCCTGTGACGCGTCGTCAGCGAAGAGCCTCCTTGTATGATGTTTTAGGTACCCATAGGAGCGGTGCCAGGCCAATAAATCGGGACCATGACGTGGATTCCGTACTCGGTCTGCCGGTTTTCACTGTCTGCAACACGAAAAATAATCAGGGATCCGAATGAAAATTGGTGGAAAGCCAGGAGCCTCATCGTGTCATATTTTTATTCTTGCCCGTCGAGATGGTAATTTGTGCTGGTGGCTGATGATGATGATCGATATGATGGTTTGGGTACCCTCGCTGCAAGTAACGCGTGGCCACCATTCCTCCCCCTTGCCTCCCCGACTTTCTCGCCTTGTTTTGCTTCTCCGTGGTGTGAGCACGTTGCTGCTGTTGAAATGTCGTGGCTTTATGCGATTGGAGATTGCATGAACGTGCGAAATGCGCAAGACTCTGGTGTGTCGTGGGATTGGAAGGGGTGGCTTTGGTGTCCCTCGAACGCTGCCCGACAGAGAACGAAGAAGGGATGGGAAGAAATGTGCAAAAAATGTCCCATTGAAGCTCAGCATCGTGTGTATAATGTTTGAGATGTTAAATTTTGGCATTTCAGTCATAATGGTGCCCTTTGATTGTGCCGGGAAATATATTATTTTCTGCCCCCTGGCAGCCCGCCCATCGTCCACTCCTCGCTCTTAAACCTGCTTCTTATCCCACTCACAAGCCGCATTATTTCCTTCATCACCGTAGAAACGATGGTGAAGGCAACGAAGGCGCCCAAGGCCGATGTGGTCACCAGGTATGTTGAGTGGAAGAAATCGAGGAGGGAGGCCGGAGGAGAGTCAGAGAAGATGGAGACGGGCATGAACGCAGAGGTCGTATCCGTCGGGGTGCTTCTAGCGGTTGATAGACTTGACGTCTGTACCCGTTAAGTGTATGAGTGCAGCATTGTATGCGGGTAGCGAAGTCCAAGTTCCTTTGAAGGCTTCCGGACGAGCGCAACGAGTCATTCCCATCGTCCCTCCATCCCCCTGCCTCCCTCTCACCTTTCCTCCCTCTCACCAAACCCCAGACTCTACACGATCAATCTTCACAAGCGTCTGCACAAGATCACCTTCAAGGAGAGGGCCCCTCGTGCCATTCGGGAGATCAAGAAGTTCGCAATTAAGGCGCTAGGGACCAAGGACGTCCGCGTCGATGCCAGGTCTGGATACCCCTTCCGTCATCTCCCCCGCCCTCCCCTCCTCCCTACCTATTCTTGCCTTGTCTGGAATTCGTCACCGTATGGTTGTACAGCTTTTTTGTACGGCGTGTGTTGTCCGTGTTGATGGTTTGCATCACTGAAGGTCACTCACGCCCTCTCCCCCGCGCCTCCTGTTCCTTGCATTTTCCGCCGTAGCCTCAACAAATACATCTGGAAGCAAGGCATCCGGAACGTTCCCTACCGAGTGCGAGTCAAGCTGGCTCGGCGGCGCAATGAGGATGAGGAGGCCGCTGAGAAGGTAGGCATTGAGGGGGTTTGGAAAGGGAGGGAGGCATGGAGGGTAGAAGGGGAGTTCGTGCATTCTTAGTGAAGGACCAATCACCCACGCGCCATTTTTTGGAAACAATGTCTCACTTCCTTATTCCCCTTTGGCTTATACCATGGTTGTAGCTCTACACGCTGGTGACCCTTGTAGAGGTGGACAGCTTCAAGGGGCTGCAGAATACCTCGGTGGATGAGTAGGACGGTTTTGAGCACAAAAAGGGGGTGGGGAGTAGGGGGGGGCATAGGGAAATGCTGAAGGAGGTCGTCCAGACTCTCTGCGTGCGAGATTTCCTCCTGGAGCGCCGGGCAAGACGGGGAGAAGGGAGGGAGGAGAAGGTCGACGTCCTTGAGTAGGAGAAAAGAAAATCAAGGCTTCACGGTTCCCGGCTCGAACCTGGCGCGTGATCCACTCTTAAATTTCTTTTGATTTGATTCAAGGGGAGGCTCTTTGAACGAGGAAAGGAAGGCGACGCCCGGCTTCACTCAGACGCTAGCATCCCTCCCTCCCTCACTTTGACTTATCCTTTGATCCCACCTCCACCTCCCTTTCTTCTTCCCTTCCTCGTCAAGTCGCGTAGGTACCGTACATGAAAAGAACCGTCATCACCAGTCCCAGACCCACCCCTATCCTCGCAACTACTCTCCACCTCCTCGTCTTCCCTTCCTCCTCAGCAGGCAGGGATGACAAGGTCGGCGACAGAGACGAGAGGCGGAGAAAATACAGGGAAGGCAGGGTGAGAGAGACTGGGACCGTCGCCAGGGCACCCACAGTACCCAGAATGACGCTCAGGTCATTGCAGCTGAGGGCCAGGAGGTACGACACGACAACGAGAACCACGGTCGCGGATACGAAATGGTGCGGGGTGAAGAGGGAGGCAGAAGGTAAGAGGGACAGCAGGGATGCCCGCGCGGCGAAGACTGGACAGGCCATAGGGATGGGATGAAGAGAAAAGGGTGGAGGCATGAGAAGGAAGGAAATATTAGAGCAGAGGGAAAAGACAAGAGAACACGAGAGGTGCGAGAGGGTGAAGGAAATGCCCGTGCAGAGTCCAAACACAGCAAACGTGTGAGTCAACGCTCGTGCCTTAAACAAGGAGATGACAACATACATAGACGAGAGAAGAGAATAAGAAGGCAGCTGAATCATACAGCATGGGGGGAGAGAAGGGTCACGTACTGACGAGGGGAAAGAGCAGAGCGACGACCGCCAGCATCATCACGCGGGAGACCGCCAAGGCCCCCGTGTTGCCGTAGTTTTTGAACAAGTTCCCTTGGACCCGATCTCCGAAGGTCAAGTACGCAGAGACAGACACCAGCAAGTATGTCAGGCCTGAGAACACAAGCGCACCTGCTGTGGCCCGACGCGTGGTGGTGAGGGAGGGGTAACGGAGGGCGTTGTGGACCGGAAGCACCTGGTAGATAATGGAGAAGGAGACGAAGAAGATCGGACAGGCCAACAGGAAGGAATGGACGAGAGAGGACACCGAGGCAGGGTAGGCCACAACGTTCTCTGCACATGTCCTGGAGGAGGAAGTCGGATACAGGAGGCAGGCGCCGGCGGAGGGAAAGAGGAAGAGCACGAAGACGAGAACGATGAAGTAAACGACGGCGATGCAGGTGATGATGCCTACGTAGTGCAAGGGGGTAATAGAGTGCAGAAAGCAGAGTGGAAGGACGA